ACATACACATTTCTTGCCTATAAATGTCTGTAAAGATGCTTTACTTAGCTTTAGATATAATATTATCCAACGTTAAGATGACTGAGAAAAAGCTTGATTGACTTTCACAGTTTTAATAGCAATTGCATCAATAAAGACGAGCTTCATAGGTTATTAATTGAATTTTTTAAAACCTTTTATAGCTGCTGGAGAAGTCTTTGGACGGTGTATCTGCCTTATATTGCTGCTAGAAAGCTCGTGAATTCTTCCAGTGTGTTGGTTGTCATTTTTATTTCACTGTGACCGCTCCCACTTTCAATGAAAAATTGAAAATTGCATTGGTAATGCATAGTATCTGTCTACCGTATTAGATCTACGCATAAATAGGGGTGACGTACGTGGACAGACAGACAGACAGAGTGCAGTGAGGGACAGACGGGGCGTGACTGAGAGTATAGCTAGAGTGGGGCGAGCTCAGGCTCGCCCCAATTACTCCAATCCTGACGTTGTGTTGTTATAGTGTTCCTTAGGCCTGGTTTCCATATAGCCGTACAACAGCCTTACAACACCGTTGCAACAATCGTGGAGATAGAAATCAGGTCTATCTCTACAACAGTTGTATGCTAACCACAGAATCCACACAACAGCTGCAACTATATGGAAACCAGGCTTAATGACTGAGAGTATAGCTAGAGTGGGGCGAGCTCAGGCTCGCCCCAATTACTCCAATCCTGACGTTGTGTTGTTATAGTGTTCCTAATAATGTATTTTGTGTGTGTCCTTTGACCCATAACTTACTAGAAAGAATGTAATTCATAGCTTATAGAAGTGCAGTAGTTCCCCTGCAGCCCCATCACTCAGCCACTTGCCTTTATTGTGGTATTTTCATAAAGATAGTGAAATCTATCACATATGTCATATTGCAGCAATTAGAAACCAAACTCTTAAAATTAGTTTGTAGCATAATATACCCACATAAATTTGAATGCAAGTGATATCTGTAGGAGTAGCATTAATTCAATTGTAGCATTCCATTATTACCACATTCAACAATATATGTGAATGCTGGCTGTTAATTTAAAAGAAATTCCCTCACTCTAAAAATTAATCAATAAGAATTAGACGTATCACTTAGAAATAACAATAGCACTACATTTGTTTCAAATCTATTTAATTAATGGCTAAAGATAGCTTCAGTACTAATTTGCTAAAAGGAAATTAATCATCATTGTCATTGTTCTCTTTGTTAGTGTTCAGCTCCCTGGAATAAAAGCTCTCATTATTTGGCCTGATGTACATCAGTTGTTGTGCAATATAAACACAAAGAGCTCCGGCAGTGAACAGAACACCAACACCAGCAAAAACCTATCAAGAGAATAATTATTATTAGCATGTGACTGTAGCTTAATTACAGCAGCAGTTATGATTTCTGCACCATTTGGTGGAAAAGGGCCAACACTAGAACCAGAGACATATTGTGGCCCATTACAGTCAATGTTAAAGAGTGAGTTTGGAGTACCACCTGAGCTTGTTATGTTTTTGTATGTAGCACAAGTCTTTCCCCAACCAGCTGAAACCACAATCATGGTAATCAATAGGAACAAAATAGAACCAACAAATATTACGACTTGGAGAATCTTAGCAATCAACCTACATGTATATAAATGGTATGAAGCAGTAAGAAAATAGGCTACTGTACCACCAAACTTACGTTTTGACATATATTTGAAATGAAACACTGATTAGCTCAATGGCAGTTAGCAGAGCCAGACATGTTATAGCAATGGTAGCACTTGCTATACTCAACTTACAAGTGGGTACATTATAATTGTACAGACTTGAGTTCATAGCTTGAGTATAAGAAATGAAAAAATGGCAAGTTGCATATACTCCATTGTTAGTGTTAGCCTGAAGGAGACCAAGAGAAGTACCAGCAGCTCCCAATGACAGGAAGAGTATGACAAGAGAGGCAAATGAGAAGATCTGCTTCATATTGTCTGCACTAGGCATGATGGAATTTGTAATATTAAGAAATATGTGTAGTGTGTTTCTTTATATGCATGTATGCAACCACAAAGCCACTCCCATTGTTTATCAACTAGCTTAATTGGACTCGCCACGCTTGCGTAGGCGGGCACTATGCAGTTGGGTTGTCTTTACCCGAGCCCACGCGTAGGCGTGGAAGCGAGGGTAAACATAGATATTAGAGTAAATGAAAGGGATAGGAAACTTCCGTTCCCGGGAAATCAAGCTATTTACCCTAGAAAGCGGAGGAATCCGGATACTAGTATACTCTAGCTGTTATTTTCCATCGCCACAATGGGCGACTAGCCTGACTAGGCCATAATTCGTCCCTTGTAATAGCAAAAGTATGCTTCACAAAGACAAGATGATGGGCGGAAGACCCAGAATAACTCATCTAGATTCTGTATCTGAAGTCTCTTTAGTCATTACTCGTTCAAGCAGTGAGATAATGGTACCCAACTAAACGCGGAAAGTTTACTTGTTTTTGAGCATAAAATGTCGAGAAAACAAGCTTTTGGAATTATTAAAGTTGGAAGACCTAAAGAAAAGAATTCTTTAATAGGGGCTTGCTTTAAATCTTTCATTTATAATATTGCTTTTGAGATAATGGGGACCAAAGAACAAACTAGTACTTTTTTAACTTTTAATCGCTAATAAATGCAATAGAAGAGCGTAAATCTTGCTATTTTTGGCTACAGCATGATAGTGGTATAACAGCTGATTTCTTTGAAGTATCATATGGCACTGCAATCACTACTATGCGAGTGCTATAGGTGAAAATCAGTGCTGCAGAGATGGAGAGAGCAAGTCTGGCCAGGGGTAACTAGCTTAAGTTGCTAAGCAACCTAATAATCTCAATGGAATAATCCACCCACGCAACGGAAGTTTCCTATCCCTTTCATTTACTCTAATATCTATGGGGTAAAGCAGTCGTCCTGTCAGTGTGTGTGTCCAAGCCAAATCTGTTTTCAAGCCTCTGCTGCTTTCTATTTGAGTTCTTAAGAGTCTTATAATCAACACTAGAGTTAGGAAAAGTTTGTTCCTATCAGCCTACTGCTTCATTTATCTTTTCCGCAGGAGCAAAAGCTAACAAAGTTGTTAAACTTAGGTCGGCACTCGCACAACTCTCTCATCGTGAAAGGAATCATAGCAAAAAAACTAATGAAGCAATAGAACAAAACTTTATCTTTTATTATAATGTAAGAAATTGCTCCAATCATCTTTTTTTTCAAGATATGAGAGCCCAAACATTCATACCTTGTGGCAAGGCTCTCTTCTCCAGAAGTAGCGGCCAGAGTCTTTAAACATCAGGGACTCAATAGACGTTTGTAAGCAACAAATAGAGCCTAACAATTGTATGTTAAACTGTTTAAAAGTCGAGAAAAACTAAAGCTTTCTTGACCACTTAGCCCACCATTACTCCATCACTGTGTGTGCTGGTGGAGCATGGCTTGATTGAGCCACACCTTCATTGCAGCCACACCTTTACATTGCTGCAGCATGCAGCAGTCAGCAAACATGCTGAAGCTTCTTCTCTATCTAAAAAATACAAAACATTCTCTGTCTCAAAACATTCACTAAGTTTTAATAAATCTATTACATGCTGAAGC